CCCCCCCCCCCCAACACACACCTTGTTTACCAATCATTATACCCCTCAATCCCCTTTTCCCTCCCTATTTGTCCCCTTGGGTCCTACTCCCTTCTTGGAATCTCAGCCCGCTGCTGTTCTGTTCCTTCAGTTTTGCTTTGTTCATACTCCACAAATGAGTGAAATTATTTGGTACTTGTCTTTCTCTACCTGGCTTATTCATAGCATAATATCCTCTGGCTCCATCCATGTTATTGGAAATCATACGAGAGAATTTAATGTACTATAAAGTGATTTTAAAGTAGGTGAGAAAACAATTTAGGACAAGTGAATAACCTTTTTAAGTTCTTTAGTAATAAATCTTGGGTTGAGTAAAGGTTTAATTGGGAGAAAATAAAAGTAAAGAAATCTAAGTCTAAGGCTGGCCCAAAGGGGGGGAGGGTTATTGAAAATTTTACTAGAGTGTGCATTCTTTTCTCAGTCTGCACTTAACGACACACACAGCCGCAGTCTGTGAGACCAAGAAAACTGCCTTCTGTTACTGCAGCCTTGGAGATCACCTGAGGCCCAGCAGAATGTAGAAGAGGAATAAACTGAGGGATAAGGAGATTTATTTAGTCTTTTAGGGGTGTTTTGTGGGGAGGAGACCTTCAGCATCCTGAAGTTTCACACTGCTTCAGCCCCCGGATACAGGTTTTCCATGTGGACTAGTCTACCTTCTGCCAATTTCCCAACCCAGCGACCCCCGACTGAAGGCGAAGGGAACCCAACACTGCTCAAGCACTGGCCTAAATTTGCCTGTCTGGGCCCTGCACATGCGCTCTTCACACCCTTGGCCTCTGAGTGCCCTGCGCCGTGACGTCATCTGGGCGGGGCATCTGTTGCCTGCGGTTACTGAGCGCTAACTGCTGACGGGGTTCTAGGCTGCTGTGGTCCCTGGGTTGGCTTATTCAGCCCTAGTGCTGTGTGGCGAGTGGAAGGCAGCAGGGGAGCTGAGGTTTCCTGAAGCCCGAGGCTTTCTTATGATGAGGAGGATTTTTGGATCCCGGGGTCTGAAGTGTTGGTCCCCTTTGAGCCCCTTCAGAAACCTGTGTGGGGTCCATCCCACTGATGTGGAGGACGACTGCTGGACAGTCAACTTCCAGGCCCAGTACCACATCCAAAGCAAAGATGTCAGAAAGATGCACAGGGCTGCCAGTAAGGGCAAAGTAGCCAGAGTGCAGCACATTCTATTTATGGGGGAAAATGGCTTGAATGAAACGGACAAGAAGGAGGGCCAGGAGGCCAGGCGCGCCTGGGAGGAGGAGGTGGGCAGACCCGGGAAAGCGCTCACTTTCCGGGCTCACCTGGGGAGCCGAGCCTCCTAGCGCCAAGGCCCCCTCAGGACCTGGGTCCCGGAAGCCTGACAAGGGGTCCGGCGCCCGTGCCCACGTTATGAGCCGCAGAGCCAAAAAGTGTACCGGTTTCGGACCCACTCATAATGACTCACAGTTTTGCAGTGATTAAACTAAACAGCACTAATAGAGTATAGACAGCATTTTATTTTTAATGTACACATTTTCATACCATAATATTAGATACTACAGAAAAGTGCATAATGGTATAAAAGTGCCTAACAAAAATACTGCATAAAAGTGCATAATACATAATGAGAAAAATGAAAAAAATTTCAATTGATCAACTTGTAAAAATTCTTTGGGTAAAATACAATATCCACTTTATATTGGTGTACACCTATGTATAGATGTGTTATTTAATGATGGACCTGAGAAAGGAATTTTGAAATGGGAAAAATCTTTCTATTAAATAGGAAGATTCATTTTCTCAAAATGTGTGCTCTTCTGATATTTTAATTT